TTAGTGTCTAATAATAAACACTTACATAGTACTTTCTATGTACCCAGGCACTGTTCTTAGGCCCTTACAAACATTAACTTATTTAATCATCACAATAACCCTATAAGGTATTATTTTTTTAATCCATGATTTACAGATAAGATGACCAAGGGCACAGAGAGGTAAATCATCATGCCAAAGTCACACAGCTAATAAGTGATGTTTTTTTATTTATTTATTTTTATTATGTTCAATATATTATGTTCAATATAAGTGATGTTTTAATGCATAAAGTGCTTTATGTGTGTATTAAAATTGGTGACTTAATTTTTTTTTAAGATTTATCTATTTGAGAGAGTGAGCATGTGCATGCAAGCAGGGGGAGGGGCAGAGGGAGAGAGAGAGAATGTCCTGCGAAGTCCCTGCTGAGTACAGAGCCCAAAGCGGGACTTGATCTCATAACCCTCAGATCATGACCTGAGCCAAAATCGAGTTGGACACTTACCCAACCGAGCCACCCAGGCACCCCAATGACTTAATTTTTAAAGCTAGTTAAGATCTTCATCAGAGATATCCAACACCTACAAGAATGGTTCACTTTATGGTGGCATTATAGCCAAAGAAAGCCAAACAGGGTTACAAAGTCACTCAAACATTCGAATATACTAACTCATACTGGGAGCAAAGACAGCAAAAAACCCACCATCTGGTTGTGTTTCAATGCTACATGAGCAAATCTGTCAGTTTTCTCATAGCCTTCTCCATGTATCATTTTGCCATTCTGAGCTGACCATTCCAGCCAACACTGCATTCTTTCACATTTGTTAGCAAAAGCACCTTAAATTCAACTGTGTCATTTTCCAGTGTTAATCAAGCAACCTTCATGTTTCCATACACATTCTCTTACAGAACATAGAACTTGTCTGGAAGAACAATACAGGTAGGCCTTGGTCCCTTAGTATCTGATTACCAGTTTGATTTGTTATTTGCCATCTGGAGAGAAAGATATGATATCCAAATAAAATGTGTGTGGAGTACTTCTCAGGAGATAACTGAGCAAAGAACAACCAAAGAAGAAAAGTGGAAGACTTAGCAGCTGCTTTTAATCTAGGTCAGCTGTTATTAAGGGGTCTTCAGCCATGACCATTTATTGAGCATCACCTTTGAACCAGATGCTGTACTACATATATCGTTGGGATTCTCTCCCACACTGGCAGCGCTTTGGCAGAATTGTCTTCTTTCACTTCCTAGAATGCACCAGAGTCGTCCTGCCTTCAGAGGCTTCAAATACTCTGTTCCCTCCACTTGAATGATCCCTCCCATCCATTTTACCAGGACAACTTCTGCTTATCTTTTATGAGTCAGCTTAAATGTCTCTTTACCAGGGGCGCCTGGGTGGCTCAGTTGGTTAAGAGACTGCCTTCGGCTCAGGTCATGATCCTGGAGTCCCGGGATCTGCTTCTCCCTCTGACCCTCCCTCCCTCTCATGCTCTCTCTCTCTCAAATGAATAAATAAAATCTTTTAAAAAATAAAAAATAAGTAAATGTCTCTTTGTCAGAAAAGACTTTCCCTGATACCCTTTACCTCTTTCATTACACCTTGAACTTCTCCTTCGGAGCGCTTAATAAAATTATAATTGAATAGTTATTTATAATATAATCTGTTTCATATTCTCTATTAGATGTAAGCTTCAAGAAGGCCAGGACAGAGTCACTCTAGCTCACCACGAGATTCCCTGGCACACAGTAGAGGCTCAATAAGTATTTGCTGAATGATAAAATGAGTAAATGAATGAATGAAGGTAGACTGTGCCCTCTATGTACTCACAGTTTAGCACTATTTATTTTTTATGTAGGATCCATGCTGTATTCAGAATTCTTTTTTTTTAAGATTTTATTTATTTATTTGAGAGAGAGTAAATGAGAGACAGAGAGAGCTGGAGCAGGGGTGGAGGGACAGAGGGAGAGGTAGAAGCAGACTCCCTGCTGAGCAGGGAGCTCAACACAGGGCTGTATCCCAGGACCCCAGGATCATGACCTGAGCTGAAGACAGACGCTTGACCGACTTAGCACCCAGGTGCTCTAGAAATTCTTATTTTTTGATTAAGCCATGAATGCTAAAAAATAAAATAAAGTGGCCCAGTAATTGGATATGGAGAAAGGAGTATTTATTGGTGAGGTGGGTGGTGGGGAGCTGAGTTAACTTCCACTTCAGTTTATCAAAACATCCACCTACCAGGTCATAAAGCTCTTTCATAGTTTGGTTTCACAAAAATGAGACTAAAGATCCTCTCTATATATTCCTCCACAAAGTTTGAGAGTGAGTAGTTGCTAAGTGGGCTTAATAATTCATCTTTATTTTAAAAATAATAAACTGATCTTTTTTTCTTTGATTCCTCCTTTTATTGCAGGTTTTATACTGCTCACAGTCTCCCTTGATGAATAATCCAATGAGTAGTGAGACAGTTGTGGGTGCAAAGGAAGGGTATATGTATAGAAAGGAAAAGCGGCACAGAAGGGATTTATCCTTTTACTGTGAAATCTGATCTGCATGTCAACCATGATCCTGTTTGATTGGAGTTTTGTCATAGTCTCTGCCTTGGATTTGGGGTTACCAGGGATTTTCGGCTATTTCTTGTTAGATGGAAACTCAGGTTTTGTTTTGTATACATTTCAAACTTTATATGGCACTGTACCCTGTACACTGTACCACACAATCCCTATAAGCTAAAGTTTCCATGACTTGTTTTTATGTGATTGAGAATATAGCATTTTCTTCCAGGGTCTTATAGCCTACAGAATTCTTTGCCTCTTTTATTATAAAATCTTAGTTTATCAATATTGGCATTGAAGTGGAAATTATCTTTTTCTACCTCAGAAGAGTTTGAAATGATATGTCAAGTATATATCTGGAGTTAGTTTACTTATTTTTCCAAATGTTTTCTATTTTGAGAGTTTATCTACTCAACTACTTTATGTTGATTTTCTAAATGTCGATGACAAATAAGAAATGAATGAACAAAGAACACCTGAAAACTAAGATTTGTAAATCTACTGCATTTTTAATGACCGGAGCATTAGGACACTTAGAAACCATTACATTGCTGATGAGTATTTAAGTTTTTAGTTAAATGATTCATTTCCTTTTCAAGATTAGGACATTAGGATCTAATTAGGAAACTGCCATGACTTGGGTGCATATAAACCTAATATCATTTGCCTTTATAAATGTGGTTAGAGTTAGAGTTTGCCTTTATAAATGTGGTTACAGTAGGATGTTTTTTGAGGGATGATTGGTTGAATTTTTGTTACTACTCATATTCAAATATACACACACACACATTTTTTCCACTAGATTCTAAAATTAGAAATTTTACCTGGGTGGCTCAGTCATTAGACGTCTGCCTTTGGCTCAGGTCATGATCCCAGGGTCCTGGGATCTAGCCCCGCATCGTGCTCCCTGCTCTGCAGGAGGCCTGCTTCTCCCTCTCCCACTCCCCCTGCTTGTGTTCCCTCTCTCACTGTGTCTCTCTCTGCCAAATAAATAAATAAAATCTTTAAAAAAAATTTACTTATAAAAATTAAAAACACATTTTTATGTAGAAAAAATAAAGCCTACACTTAAGCTAACCATCAAAAGTTATTTTGCACTTCGATATATTTCATTTTAGTGTTTTTGCCGTGCACACATTTTATTTATTGATTTTCTACAGTAGAGTTAGAGTTTTGTATATATTACTTTCACTTAACTTCCTATCATGAGTCTTTCCCACATCATTAAGCCATCTTCATAAATAGAATTTCTTGTAGCTCTTTACTGGTAATTCAAGGTGATTATTTTTCAAAAATTATAAACACCTATTTACATAGATCTTTCATCTGTTTCTGATTTTTTTTTTCTTTTAGAAAAGACTCAGGGACACCTGGGTGGTGCAGTCAGTTAAGCAGCCAACTCTTGGTTTCAGCTCAGGTCATGATCTCTGGGTCATCAGATCAAGCCTCGAGTCCCATTTGGGGCTCCACACTCAGGAGAGTCTGCTTAAGACTATCCCTGTTCCTCCGCCCCTCCCCACCCGGCAAGCATGTGCGTGCATGCTCTCTCTCTCTCCCATAAAAAAAGAGAGAGAGAAAAGATTCGTAAAGTGAAATTATGGAGTAAAACGGCATGTACATTTTTAAGGCTTTTGATACATATAGGAGAATTGCTTTTTGGAATGCTAATACCGTTTTAATTCCTGCTTACTACATATGACAAGGCTTAATATGTTTGCCATAAGAGAGATCATACAAATAAATAAGAACATAATGGTCTAATACCAAAATGGGTTAAGAACATGAACACAAAATTTACTAAACTGGAAATTTGTATATCCATGTGAATATATATGAATGATATCAAATTTCATTAGGAATACAAATTACAATAATAAAAATACTATTTTAATTATAATAAACTGTTCTTTCTTTGGAAGTATTCAAAGGTAAGATGTTAACATTAGGGGAAGCTGAGTAAAAGGTATTAAGAACTCTACTATTTTTATAACTTTTCTGTAGATCTAAAATTATTTCAAAATAAAAAGTTAAAAATTTACTCATATAGTGGCTCTAGGTGCTTATTCAACTAGGTCTTTGTGTCATTGATCTCTCACAAATGAGCCACTGTACTCCCAGAAATCTGCATCAGAGCACACCTAACTAGCTCTTTTCTTGAGTCACCTGCTAGTATTGAAAAATAAGTATAAAATCTATCCAATGAATGCTCTCATTTATTGCACAAGTCTCTGAACCTGCTCTATATGTTATATACTTTATCTCATTTAATCTTTCCTACAGTCCTACAAAGTAAGCAGTAAAATTACAATGCTCATTTTACAGATGAGAAAGCTGAGGCCATAAGTTTGAGTAACTCATTCAAAGTCATATTCTAAAATGCTTTACTTCAATCGGTTTCATTTATAAGATATGTCCATTTGGCAAAAATGACTTACATTTGGGGAATGAATGTTTGTCTTTATTTTCAGCTGGATATGGTGTTCCCTTTCCAACAGCTGAACCTACAGACATTATTCCACGAAGCTGCCAACTAACGACAGATGTTCCACAAGTCACACAGCTGCTAAACATGACTAAACTCCGCCAAACTGAAATAAAATTTGGAGGTCATCCTCTAAGTTCAGCAGATTCAGGTATGCACCAGGCACCTAAATTATAAGCATATTTATTTGAAAGACCAAAAAAAGGGTTAAAAAAAAACCCGCACCACAATGATGCTTTATAGCTTGAAGTTAAATATTAAGTCACTCTAACATCAACTCGTGTCTGTGATAAATCATTTTAAATTTCTCTTCAGCAGCTAAAATATTTTCTGGGTTTTTACATACCAAATCAAAACATCCTTGATTAGTCCTCTCCTTTTCCTGTACTCTTCCAGGCCCAGCCAGTTATACTTCTAAAACATCTCTCGAATCTGTCTGCTCCTCTATCCTGTTGTTGCTTTCATTGATCGGGTGCCCACCATCGCTCACCTTAGCCTCCCAGTTAATCTACCCGTTGCTGTCAGAATTATCTTTCTGATAATAGAAATAGAAATGTGATCATGTCTCTCTTCAGTTAAAGACCTTTAATGCCTTTCCCACTATCTTAGAAGACAAAATTAAAAAACCCTTGGGAATTCACACAAAACCAACCTCCCCTATCCCAACCTACTCGAGTTTCATCTCTCATTCCCCATGTGCGATTTTCTGACCATGCTGTGGGCTTTCACACGTTCGTATTTGGGGATTGCTGTTTCTTGGCCTAAAACAGCTTCCTTGCCTTTCTGCCTATAAACACTCCCAATTCACTTTTCTAGATCCAACTCAAATGCTACCTCTTCTGTGCAGTCTTTCCTAATTCTAACAAGCACTGTTCCCTTCTTTCCCTGACTTTTTTTTTCCTTTCTTTTCTTTTTTTTACAATACTTTTTAATATGTCTGCATTTCCCAATAAAGTGTGACTTCTTCCAAAAAGAACACTGTACCTCATTCTTCTATATCCCTAGCATCTAACACACTGTTTACCACAGTGTTTGCAGGCCAGGGGCTGCAAATTCAAATTATTATGGAGGCCAGTCAGATAATATAAATGAATAAAGTGGGCTGGATGCCTGGATATTTGACACATAGAAACATATTTTACTCAACAGTGAGCCTCATTGGGAGTGGAGGGGGTCATTAGGGGAAAGGAATCAGGGAGGGCTTCAAAGAATTGTTCTCTACTGTTAAAGCAGTAACATTAACAACTATGCAAATGATAGAATAAATGGTAGTTAGTACTCAGTCCCTGTGAGGGAGCAATAGGGAGTGATGAGGACTGTAGCAAACTAGAAGCTCTTTCTCCATTTGGTAGGGATACTGCAATTCCATTCTAGCCAAGTGTTGCCTTGTAAGAATTCATGCACAGTCTCACCAGATCTTCCTTTTTTTTTTTTTCAAGAGGAGCTAGGTAGTTCAATGTTTATGATAAATCTTCCAATTCTAAAATATTGTCTAAAGTCTAAAATTTTTTGAAAATATTCTATAAGCCTAACAAACCATGTCAGGGCTACCAGTTTTGTACCTCTGTAGTAGATACTCATAACTCTTGACCAAATGAATGAATAGTATGTACAAATTAAGAAACCTAATATTATTTAGATGAGTGAGTCTCAACTTCCTGTTTGTTAGAATCACCTGGGACATTTTATAAATAATTTATGTAAAAAAATTTTTTTCCTAATGCCTATGCTTCATCTTGAGATGCTAATTTAATTGGCCTTGGATGGATATTTTTTAAATGCCTTCAGTGATTCTAAGGTGCAGTAGGGTTGAGAACCACTGGGTCACTTATCCAAACAAAAGTCCTGTGGCTTAGATGACACTCAAAAACACAGAAGTAATCCCAAGGAAGGTAAAATGGTGGTCGTAATTAGGCACTTGTGGAGGAAGAAGTAGGTCTTGAAAGTATTCAGTAAATACTTGTGTATGTTTTTATTATAAATAAATATAAGATTTATGGAAGTGTAAGGTGGTGCAGAAGACTGAGCAAAGACAAGGAGACAGCAAAATGCATGGATGAGTTTCCTGAGGGATTAGTAAGAGGAATGGCCTAGTGGGCAGAATGGCTGGGTCAGAAGAATACAAGAAGAGTGCCTCCTGCTCCTAAAGTAGAGACACAACAAAGCCTTTCTTAGGAAGATGAATTTGACATCACGAGTCAAGATGAATTTTTAAATCAAGTGAGACCAGAGATTAAGAATTACAACTCAGATGTCTTTGCAGCCATCTGGGCATAAAATGTCAGTGGCTCCTTGATAAGTGATGAGCCTGAAAGATGCTGCAGGGGAAACACAAGCAGGACTTGTTGATTCTCAGATAACAGATGGGGAAGAGAGTGGGGTCAAAGTTTGAGAGAGGTCAAAGGAGAAGCTGGGGAGAAGAGAGAGCTATGAGAAAATGAGTGAGTTATAGAAATGAACTGTTTTACTCTATTTATGCTGTATTTATTCTTGGTGTATTTTTTATGATTTTATTTATTTGAGAGAAAGAGAGCACACGTGAGTGAGCAGGGGGAGGGGCAGAGGGAGAGAATCTTAAGCAGACTCCCTACTGAGCTTGGAGTCTGAGGCAGGGCTCAATCTCAAGACCCTGAGATCACAACATGAGCCGAAACCAAGAGTCAGAAGCTTAACCCACGGAGCCACCTAGGCACCCTTCTTGGTGTATTTTTTTATGTTAATCCTCATCAGCATTACATGTCCTAAATTGTATATTCCTGGAGAATTGGGACCTATTTTGTAACTTCTTCAGTATAAACCCTGGCAGGGGACTATGTGTAAGTAGACACTATAATTCTAAACTCTCGGTTATGAAATTTCTAAACTTTCAGAAAAGTAGAGAGAAGACATAAAAACCCCCATGTCCCCATCACCTATTTCCACAATTGCCAAATTTAGGCAGGACATTTTGGTTGCACAGGGCATAGGTAGCAAGAATTTGTATATTTATTATATACACTCTCTTTAGGGAGAGAGACTATATATAACCCGTGTTCATTAAAGAACCTTTAGAAAATATATAGAAGGATGAAAAAGATCTTATTCCCCAGACAGCCACCGTAAACACCTCAGGTCACAAATCAATCTCAATGGAAGATTCACCACAGAATGAAAGGAGCAAGGGTATTTTTGATAACCAAACACTCAATCTGTATCTAATAGTCTGTGAATGCTTTCAGTAACAGAAATGACTAAGCTGTAAAGCCTATCAGATAACTCAGAGCAATTGTGAATGCTCTTTTCTTCTTTTATCTCTCTAGCTTAATGTTTTAAGAATTAATTATGTTTTTAAATGAAAATGCAAGTCTATATCCAGATATTTTAAGTGTCTTTTTTTAATTTAAAGTTCAAGGACATGTATGATGCTTGAGATTAAAGAGGAATTTGAATAAATATTAATTGCATCATTAACTCAGTATTATAATGAAACAGAAACTGTTCATAGGCCATATTTGATCTCAACTTTTAGAAGAGGATATTAGTATGTATTTTGCAAATTCCGTAAATGAGATCTCAATAATACATAATGATAGTCAACTTGAGTCACATATACAGAAAATTAATAATCGGGGGTGCCTGGGTGGTTCAGTCAGTTAAGCATCTGACTCTTGATTTCAGCTCAGGTCTTGATTTCAGGTTCATGAGTTCAAGCCCTGTGTTCGGCTCCACACTGGGCATGGAGCCCGCTATGTAAGAAAGAGAGAAAGAGAGAAAGGGAGGAAGGGAGGAAGAAGGGAGGGAGGGAAGGAAGGGAGGAAGGAAGGAAAGGAAGGAAGGAAGGCAGGAAGGAAGGAAGGAAGGAAGGAAGGAAGGAAGGAAGGAAGGAAGGAAGGAGAGAGAAAGAAAGAAGGAAGGAAAGAAGGAACAAAGAAGGAAATTAATAATCATCACCTAATAGCATATTGCTTCTGCCCTGTGAATCCCAATTATATTTCTATTCCTTTATAACCATAAGGTTTGTCTTAAAGAAAAGCTCATTGGACATGCATGGCAGCTAAGATTACATGAACATACAGCAGTCCTCCCTTACCTGAGGTTTCAGTTACCTGCGGTCAAGTGTGGTTCAGAAGCAGATGATCCTCCTTCTGATGTAGCATCAGAAAGTCAACAGTAGCCTAACACTAGGTCACACACCGACATCATCCACCTCACGTCATCTTGTCACGTAGAAATTTTATCATCTCGCATCATCACAAGAACAGTGAGTATGGCCCAATAAGATAGTTTAGAGAACACATTCACATAACTTTTATTACAGTATATTGTTATAATTGTTCTATTTTATTATTAGTTGTTGTGATTCTCTTACTGTGCCTAATGTATAAATTAAACTTTATCAGAGGTATGTATGTATAGGAAAAAATGGAATATGTATGGTTTGGTACTATCCAGTTTCAGGCATCCATTGGGGGTCTGGGAACATATCTCCCAGGGATGGGAGGGGGCTGCTGTACATTGAACTCTGTGGTTCTCCTTCTACAAATATGTTTCCATTGCTATTTTTGTCATTTGTGGGCTTTGAAACTTACTATAAATATATATAATAATAATAATTGAGATATTTTATTTGAAAGGTGTAGCTAATGAATAATGCCCAAGGGCAGACTTTCTAATCTTGGAAAAGCCAGGAGATATTTCTTCATGTCAACTATTTGTTTTTGTGTCTGTCTGAAAAATGGACTCCCCATGATGAGATTTTTGAACTGCATGAGAAAATGACTGTGCTCTTATAACTAACTGTACAGTATCCATGTACATTGTGGTGCTTTATTATAAATGCACACACTGAGATCCCAGTGAAGTTGCCACAGAAATAAATCGTGGCTTCCAATGGATGCTTTCTAGTATGTTCACTCGAGCAAAAAGAGGAGACCTTAAAACTTCCATTTTAGAGTGCATTTTGTTGAATGGCATGTAACTTGATCAAGAGCATTTAATGATATTAATAAGATAATTGTGTTTCCGAAAAGCCAGTGTTACCACACTTCTACACCGTTCACCTTGTCAGTTCCCAGTGCACGTTAGCTAATGACTGTTAGTCTGCAGATAACTGGGGGGTCTCTAATGATCTTATTTTCATTAATGGAACCCCAGTTTAATTGAACCAGAGAT